TTTAACCCCACAATTTCAACATTACAGCTATGGTTGTTTAGATTTTCTTTAGATCCAATCCTTTTTGCATCTGGGAAACTCTCCTGAGATTACTTTCCTTTTTCCCTACAGCTAGGTCTTTTAGAAATTCTTTTAGTGAGAACGTGTTGGTGGAAAACACACTCAGCTTTTGTATGTCTGAAAATGTCTATTTCGCCCTCGCTTCTGAAAAATAGTTTTGTTGGGTATACAATTCTAAACGGACTTATTTTCTCCGGGCATTCTGCAGATATTTGTCTATTCTCCCTTGGTTTTCATGGTAGCTGTTGAAAAGTCATCTGTTTATCTGATCATTGTTCCTTCATAAATAAGTCTTTTCTCTCTGGCTGCTTTTAGCATATTTCTCTGGTGCTCATCACTTTCTCTATGATGTATTCATGTGAGAATTTCTATATACTTGTCTGCCTGGAATTTGTTCTGTTTCTTCAACCTGTGAATTCACATGTTTAATCAATCTTAGTAAATTCTCAGCTAGGATTTCTGATCAGACAACCTTGTACCTTCTCTCTGTCCTCCATGTCTTAATCTCTCTTTTACAGTGTCTTTTTTTTTTTTTTAATTTTTATTTATTTCTGAGAGAGGACAAGCAGGAGAGGGGCAGAGAGAGGGGTACAGAAGATCCGAAGTGGGCTCCCCACTGACCAGCTGACGGGCTGACAGCAGCAAGCCTGATGCAGGGCTCAAACTCACTAACCAGCTCGTGGCCTGAGCTGAAGTCAGACACTCAACCAACTGAGCCACCCAGGTGCCCCTTAATCTCTCTTTTATAAATGCCATCTCATTTTCCTCCATTTTATATTCTGCACATTTTCCTCAAACCCATCTCTCAACATGTTAATTCTCTTTAGCTACATCTCATGTGCTAGTAAACCAACTACTGAGTTTATAATCTGAATTACTTTTTCAACTTCTAGAACTACTATTGGTTCTCTTTCAAATCTGTCCATTTTGTAGCACGCTTTTTTTCCTTAATATTACCATCAAAGCTCTGTTTAATTTTAAAGACCATATCAACATTTATATCATATTTCAGACCTAATAATTCCAACAGTCTCTACAGGTCTAATTTTGCTATTTGTTGTTTCCACGTCTTTCACTCATGGAGACTTGCTTCTTGGATGTTGTGATCATTGACAATTAAGACCATGTCTGTAAAACTTTCTTCGGTACTTCTTTATGGTCTAGGTAACAGTTTATTCTTTCAAAGAGGATTTACATTTGCTTTTCCTAGGCACCTGGGAATACTACCAACTCAGTACGACTGTAAACTAAATTCCTACCTATTTTTTGTTCTTTGGGATTACACAAATGTGTACAAATTCAAGCTGCAAACCCGCATGATGCCTGGCTTATGTTGTGAATGCTCAGGGAACGCTTTTATTTATTTATTTTTTCCCTTCACCCAGAGCCAATGCTGAGGCAGAAAAATTTCCTCTGCACCTCCCTTTGCAGACTTGATTTTTTTTTTTTCTTATTTAGTGTTTGCTAAGCAGTAGCCTTTTCTACCTCTCGGGAGTCTTAGATGATGTCCCTCATACCAGGCATGGAAATGCTAAGTCCAAAGAATCTGCTCACAATCTACTGGTACATTTCCCCAGAATAACCTTTGCCTTCAAGGGGCTTATTTATTCTCTAGATTCCTGTTCTGTTTTCCTTTTGGATTCCAAGGATTTTTCTTCTTCTTACAAGCTGACCTATACTATTTAGTAGACTTTCTTTAGAGGTTTTTATCCAGCACTTTAGGGGTTTAAAAATGAGGAAGATTTTCCAAGATATGCAAGCTGTCATCTTATCAGAAAGAGAACATAAACTGCCTTTCTATTTCTACTTATGTATTTGGAATATACTGCCAAATATAAAATTGACAGATCAAGGAACAGAATTAGTTTCATGGTTTTTGTTACATGTTATAAAATTCAGCGATGAAAATTTATTAATATTACATGTTAATAGTGGCTTGAGGAGATCTGTAGTTTCCATGCCTATTTTGCTTCAGAGAGGTTATCTACTAATATTAAATAAAAGTTTTTTGGCTTTGACCATATCTGGAATAAAACAGGATCTTAGTCTGATTTTCATAACTTATTTTCTAAAAGAACAGCTGCAAGTGTTGATAAGGTTGTGGAGATATTGAAACCCTCATACACTGCTGGTGGGAATATAAAATGGTGGGAATGTAAAATGATGTGGCCATTTTAGAAAACAGTCTAGTAGTCCTTCAAGAAATTAAACATAGAATTATCACATGGAATAGCAACCCACCGCTAAGTGTGTACCCAAGAGAAATTAAAACACATGTTCACACAAAAACTTATACATGAATGCGCACAGCAGCATTGTTCATAATAGCCAAAAGGCAGAAACAATCCAAAAATCCCATTGACAGATGAATGGATAAACAAAATGTGGTATATCCATATAGAGGGATATTATTAAGCCATGGAAAGGAAAGAAATACTGATACATGCTACCACATGGATGAATCTATAAAACATTATGCTAACTGGAAGAAGCCAGACACAAAAGACCACAAATTATATGATTCAATTACATGAAATATCCAGAACAGGCAAATATAATGTATAGAAGTAGGTCAGTGTTGTTTAGGGCTGGGAGGATGGCAAGCTTGGGAAGTTACAGACAAAGGGTTCATAGTTTCTTTCTGAGGTAAGGAAAACGTTCTAAGACTGGCTGGGGTGATGGTTGCACAGCTCTGTAAATATACTAAAAACACTGACTTGTACACTTTAAATGGATGGACCATATGGCATGTGATTATATTGCAGTAAAGCGATTAGAATAAAAAACATGCAGATAAAACAAATTCTGTGGCTATAACATAAATTGACCTGAAAAAGCCTTTGACAAAATGGCACAAACTATTTCTAAGGAAATTCAGTCACCATACAGTTGTGACCTTTCTTCTTCTTCGAGGAGATACTGCCTTTGAAAGAGGAAACAAATGTTAAGAATAAACGACATTATTTTGATATTTTGCAAGCATGATTTCTTAATGATATGGTAGGGTGAGGCTAGTTTGTTTTAAAAATACATCTTTACAAATGATCTGATGGAGAGAATGCACAGTAAACTCTCCCAAGTTGACAATTATACTAAACTCTTCCTGACAATAAAATATTTAGCTGATGAAAATAAATTATAGGGCTTATGCACTGGCAGCTGTAAAGGCTGGCTCTATACAATATGCTGAACTACTCAGGAAAATCATGAAAAGCTTATATGGCAAGGCCCTAGGCGTGACAGCTCAATACCGAATGACCTAAAGACAAATTGCATACGTGGTATGCGAGGGCAGTGGCTGGGACTGATCCTGGAAGCCCAGGAGAAAGGACTTTTCTCCTGCTAAAAGGCTCGGCACTTAGGAATCTATGGGCAGATGCCTTCCTGCGGACAACGGCGGGTAAGAGGCTGGGAATCTAGGAAGGCATACAGGCCCCTGAGAGTGTGAAGCTAAACTTTAGTGGAGAAGAAAAATAGTCTGTTTTCTGAGGCTCTCCCTCCCCTTCCAGGAAAGAGACAATAGGGCCTGTCGAGACTGCAAAAATAAAGAGTTAAAATCCTCCTTTTCATCCCTACCTTAAAGATGGAAAATGAGAGTCCCAAGTTCTCACAGTGGCAAACCTACAGAGCAACACATCCCAGAGAGAGAGAGCTGAAGAGACCAGGTGCGTTCCTGGCAAGACCAGCTGTGTAAATGGTGGGCCGACTGCAGAATGACAATGTGGGGTGCCCTGTTCATGAATTACTTAGAATCTCAAGACAGTGAAAGCAGAGCATTAAACCTAACATGGGGCTCTTCTGAGTGTGGGGGTCTCTGCAACTGCACAGGCTGTACGTCCAAGAGGCCCTGACTCTTGAGCAGCAAGCATGGCAGCAGCAAAAATCCAGGAGGCACAGAAATGTATAAGGCAAAAAACCAAGATCGTCCAAAATCCTACCACCTGGGACAACCACTGTTATCATTTTGGTGATTTTCCAGAGAATTTTCTATATTCATATATACTGCTGACCCTTCAACAACAGAGGTTTGAACTGCATGAGTCCACTTATACATGTAATTTTTTTTTGATAAATACAGTATAGTACTGCAAATATATTTTCTATTTCTTATGATTTTCTTAATAACATTTCATTTTCTCTAGCTTTCTTAATTGCAAGAATACAGCATATAATACATATACAAACTATGTGTTAATCAACTGTTTATGCTATCAGTAAGGCTTCTCGTCAACAGTAGACTGTATTACTAGATAAGCTTTGGGGGAATCAAAAGTTACCCACAGATTTCCAACAGTGCAGGGGTTGGCACCCGTAACCCCCTGCATTGTTCAAGGGTCAAGTGCACATGTAGACATTGATTCATACAGAAATGGTATGTTGCACACTCTCGTCTGTAGCCTTTTTTTGAGCTTATTAAGCTTCTTACATTATGGAGAATTTTCAAAACTGTTAAAAACACATCATTTCAATCCTATTGTCTAAATTACAAAACATAAAGATCCCTGTTCAATTTAACCAAACTCAAACCTAACTTTTGTTAGGTTTCTGAAGGGTCTTGCGTTTTTCGTTACTAACAATGATGACCAGTGGATATGAATAAAATGGAGTGAGGACTGAATGAGTTAATCAGCATAAAGTATTTCACAGAGTACTTGGCAAGTAACAAGCTCTCTATAAATTTTAGGGATTTTAGTATTGTGTCCTATGTAAAGACTGAACTAATTTACATTCCCAACAGCAGGGTAAAAGAAATTGGTTTTCCTAAATCCCTGCCAATTCTTCCAAATTTTTCCTTTTGTATTTTTTCTATGAATCATTTGTTTGTGCTCTTTGACAGTTCTCCCACTGGATTCCTTACGCTTTTAAAATTTTAACTGATTTCTGTATTGGAGATACCAATCCTTTGTCATAGGAGTAACAAATGCTTTTTTAAGACTTACCTCCAGTTCCTAGGACCTTGAGGAGCTCAAAATTTTCAATCCCCACCTTCTCAGCATGTCCTGTTAAATTAGCTAAAAAAAGAAAGAGAAAAAAGAAATAATTAAGGGGGTCAGGAACAGGAGGGGGCCCTTGGGGGCTTCTGAAATACCAGCAATATTTTATTACTTGACTTGGGTAGTTAAGCCAGGGTTCACTTTATAATTATTTGTTAAACTACACAGCTATGTTTTGTATACTTCTCTGTATGTTATATATTACAGGAAAACTTTTAACATGTATTTATTAGAGAGAGAGAGATAGAGAGGGAGAGAAAGAGAGATAGCACAAGTGGGGAAAGGGCAGAGTGAGGGAGACAGAGTATCTGCAGCAGGTTTTGCACTGTGAGCACTGAGCCCAGTGTGGGGTTGGAACTAACCAACCGCGAGATCATGACCTGAGTCAAAATCAAAAGTCAGACCTGAATAAAATCTAAGATCTCTGCCAGCTCTAAAATTTGTTTGAAAGTATTAACTCTTTAAAAACATATTCTGGGGGCGCCTGGGTGGCTCAGCTGGTTAAGCGTCCGACTTCAGCTCAGGTCATGATCTCACAGTTCGTGGGTTCAAGCCCCACGCAGGACTCTGTGCTGACAGCTCAGAGCCTGGAGCCTGCTTCAAATTCTGTGTCTCCCTCTTCTCTGCCCCTCCCCTGCTCATGCTCTGTCTCTCTCTCTCTGTCAAAAATAAATAAACATTTAAAAAATTTTTTTAAAACTGGTTAAAGTGGTAAATTTGATACGTATATGATACGTATTTTACCACAACTACAAGAAAGATGGAGCTCTGTAAACTGTGGGCTTTGGGTGAAAATAACGTCACAGAATTGGCTCATAGGCTGTACCAAATGAGACACACTAATGTAAGATGTTCAGAGGGGAGGCTCTGGGAGAAGGTGGAGGCGGGTGCTCTGCAGGAACTCTCTGCACTTCCTGCTCAATTCTCTATAAATTAAAATCGCTCTAAAAAATGAAGTCTTCAGGGGCACTTGGGTGGCTCAGTCGGTTAAGCATTGGACTTCAGCTCAGGTCATGATCTCACGGTTTGTGAGTTTGAGCCCTGCATTGGGCTCTGTGATGACAGCTCAGAGCCTGGAGCCTGCTTCAGATTCTGTGTCTCTCTCTCTCTGCCCTTCCCTCACTCATGCTCTGTCTCTCTAAAATAAATAAATGTTAAAAAAAATTTAATAAAAAAATATTCTGTCCTAGATAAACAAAATTAGGATATCTTACAAATGAGCATTTTCCAAAATATATTCCATTGATTCTGGTCCTATACTACAAGATGTTAATAGGTGTTATGCTTAGGGGGAAAAGATGCTTTCAAGTCAACTAAACCTGAAATGATCGGCTTAAACAAAGTTAATCAGGTTACAGGTTTCTTTACTGCTGAACTTCATAGATTCTACACCATGAAAATCTGCATGTGAATCTAAAACTCAGATACTGTATTTACCAAATTTATTGGATCACAAAATTATTTTTTTATGGCAATACCTATTAATATTGTGCCAACCAGCATTCTATAGATGTGGTTAAAGGAGGCCTAAACTAAATTCTATTTCTACCACTTAAAAGCCATGTGACCTTGAACAAATTAATTAACTTCTCTGTGTCTCAGGTCCCCTCTAGTGTAAAATGAGGATAATAAAAATATCTACCCTCAAAGCACATTGATGTCTGCAATTTGCTTTGAAATGCTTAAAAAAATAAGATGGATTAAGGGGTGAATAGAGGTATGGACAGATATGTGATAAAGCAAATACGATAAATGTTAATTACAGAATCCAGACAGTGAGTGGGAGGGTGTTCAACATGTAGTTCTTCCAAATTCTCTGTATATTTGAAAATGTCCATAATAAAATGGCAGAAAATAAAATAACACCTACCTCATAGGGATCTGATGCGGATTCTAGGAGTTAAATTTATACGGAGCTTGTTGTGTGCCACAGAACATCATTATAAGTGTTTGCAAATAAATAATGCTCTGGGCCTCCAACTTCAAGCAAATCAGACCCAGCTGCGAACTTCTAGAATTAAAAGTTTCAGGGGGATAAGTGACTTCAGTGTCCTTCCAAAGTTTAACTAAATGTGGGGTGCCTGGGTGGCGCAGTCGGTTAAGCGTCCAACTTCAGCCAGGTCATGATCTCGCGGTCCGTGAGTTCGAGCCCCGCATCGGGCTCTGGGCTGATGGCTCAGAGCCTGGAGCCTGTTTCCGATTCTGTGTTTCCCTCTCTCTCTGCCCCTCCCCCGTTCATGCTCTGTCTCTCTCTGTCCCAAAAATAAATAAACGTTGAAAAAAAACAAAGTTTAACTAAATGCATAATTAAAATATTTTACTTGTGGTCAAACCATGTAACATAAAATTTACCACCCTAACCATTTTTAAGTATATAATACAGTGGTGTTAAGTACATGTACTGTGTTTGCAACAGATCTCTGGAACTTTTTAATTTTGCACACCAAACCCTATACCCATTGAACTTAACCTACTGACAATTTCATGAAATTGTTGAGATGGCTGGATTTGGGTTTACCATTTTATTACTTGTTTTTAACTTGCCTCTTCCCTTTATTTAAGTAACCTCTACACCCAACGTGGGGCCCGCACTCACAACCCCAAGATCAAGAGTCAGCCAGGCGCCCTTTAACTTGTTTTTTCTGTTTGTTCCCATGTTTCTACTTTCCTGACTTAAAAAAAACAACAGCAAAACATTTAAATGGTTTTTAGAATTTCATTTCAATTTTCACGTGGCATTTTAGGTCTACTTTTTACATTATTAGTGCAGTTGTTGCCCTAAGGAGTACAGTGTACATCTTTAATTACCCACAGTCCTCTTATAATTTATACTGTTCCATTCCCCTAAAACCGTAGAAACTTTGTAATCATTCTTTATGGACTACTGATATATATTAAATGGAGTTATTATCTTCTATATATGCAATTATGCACAAGACAATGCTATCAGTTTTCCTTATATGATTTACAAAGAAAGAGGAAAGAGAGAGACTTCTGCATTTCTGTAGATATTTATCATTTTTGATGATCTTTCTTATATTTTCCAAGGATCCAAAGTTTCATCTGGTATAAGTTTTCTTGAGCCTGGAAGAACTTCCTTTGACATTTCTTGTAGCGCAGAATTCTCCAAGTTTTCTTTTATCTGAAAGAGTCTTTCTTACCTTCATTCAAATCTTTTTATGGAGATATTCACATTCCATAAAACTCACCCTTTTAAAGCGTATCTATCCATGCTTTTTAGTCTATTCACAAGTTGTGTCACTGCTGCCACTAACTAAATCTGGAACCCTCTTCCTTTTTGAAGCATATTTTTCTTCGATAAAGAATTCTGGGTTGACAGGCTTTTTTCTTTTCTTCCAGCACTTTTTTTTCCTGCTTATTTATTTTTTAAGATGAAATTTATTGTCCAATTGGTTTCCATACAACACCCAGTGGTCATCTCAACAGGTGCCCTCCTCAATATCCAGCACTTTATATAAACATGTTCTTCCATTCTCTTTTGGCCTCCATGGTTTCCCAGGTGAAGGCAGTAATTTAAATGTATCATGTTTCTCTTACTGCTTTCAACATTTGCTTTTGAAAGTTTTGCCGTGATGTGTACTGATGTGGACTTCTTTGGGTTCGGTCACCCTGGTATTCACTAAGGATCTTGTATCTGTAAGTTTCTGTTTTTCATCAAATTTGGGGGGTTTCGGCCTTAATTTTTCAAAAGAAAATTTTCTATCCCATTCTGTCTCTCCTCTGAAATTTCAATTATGTCCATGTTAGATTGTTTGATTCAACCTGAAAAGTCCCCGAGACTCTGTTCATTCCCCCCCATATGTTTTCTCTCTGTTCTTCAAATTGATTTCTATTGCTCTATCTTCAAAGTTCATGTACTTTTCCTTTTGCACCTCCATTCAACTGTTAAATCCAGCTACTGAATTTTTATTTCAAATATTGTATTTTTCAACTCTAGAACTTCCATTTGGTTCTTTTTCATTGTTTCTATTTTCCTGATAGGATTTCTTGTTTTGTTATTCACTGAGAGCATGACGTTTTATTTCACTGAGGATATTATAACAGCTGCTTTAAAAGTCTTGCTTGGTACAGCCAATATCTCGTTCATCTCAGGGTAGAATTCAACTGATTTTCTTCCTCTCTGATATGTTCCATTTTCTTGATTCTCCATATATGGGGTAATTATGGACTGTAGAAATGTTAATTTGTGGAGATGAGAGATTGTTTTTTTCCTCCAGTGACAGTTGTTTCTTTCATTTAGCCGGCAAATATCTTGGGTCGGCTTGAACTGTAAACTATTTTTCTTAGGAGGCAGCTCCAGTCCAGTTGAGATTTTTTGTCTTTACCCGAGTTTTTCTGAGTCCACTGTACTCATGCAGGGCTCAGAGGGCAGTCAGAGATGTGTGCTCACAAAAGCTAAGGACTCCCCCTCCTCTGGCTGTTCTTTTTCTGGGATTTCTCCCCTATCTTCAGTGATCAGGGTTCTCTGGTTTCAGTTTTCTAGTCTCCCTGGCCAAAGAGACTACTGTTTTTCCACCAGAGTCCCCAGAGTACAGACTGTACTTAGCCTGAAGCTAAAATCAGTGAAAAGGCAAAGTTACTTCTTATAGCTCCCTCCCTTCCCTCCTCCAACTGTGTACTCCCCAGTAGAGTCTATCTGCTTCTGTTCACTCTCCAGTGCCTTAAATAGTTGCTTTTTACATTAAATCCAGGTTTTACAGCTGTTTTCTACAATGGAATTCTCCAGTAGACGGTCTTTTTGTGAAATTATGAGAAAGAAAAGTCTTCCCTCATTATAGTCAACATCATGAAGGGGAGCAGAACACGCCCCCTCCAAATACGCCACTTTGGCATACTGGTTCTTTAGAATTAAAGTTCCTTAAGACACAGCCAGTGAAAGGACAGTGACCTCCTGGGTCTACCCTGAAGGCAGCAAATAAATCTCTCATTTGAAAGGTATCCTCCCTGTACTAGGAGGGTAGAAGGCTCTTATTATCAGAAATAGGGGATTTAGGGCC